ACATCAACATGTGTCCCCTCTTCTTCATGTGTCTTCGACATCAACATGTGTCCCCTCTTCTTCATGTCTCTTCTACATCAACATGTGTCCCCTCTTCTTCATGTCTCTTCTACATCAACATGTGTCCCCTCTTCTTCATGTCTCTTCTACATCAACATGTGTCCCCTCTTCTTCATGTCTCTTCTACATCAACATATGTCCCCTCTTCTTCATGTCTCTTCTAAATCAACATGTGTCCCCTCTTCTTCATGTCTCTTCTACATCAACATGTGTCCCCCTCTTCTTCATGTCTCTTCTACATCAACATGTGTCCCCTCTTCTTCATGTCTCTTCTACATCAACATGTGTCCCCTCTTCTTCATGTCTCTTCTACATCAACATGTGTCCCCTCTGTGGAAAGAGACTCTGAAAGTTTCAGGAACAAAGATTCTCTCTCTTTTTGATCCATTTCTATAAAAACCTGTCTGAAAATGAGCTGATCAGATTTTGGCCACTTTGTGATGTCATAACGATGTGTTGTCTTGTGTAACCATTAGCCAATCAGCAACCAAGGTAACCCCCCCCCCCCTTATCACCTGAATCTCCTCCTAGAGCTCCATTGAGTTCTTTGTAACCAAATCTCTCTCAGAGGGGCGTGGGGAGGGGCTCCTTATTTTCATCTAAAGTAACAGACAGAGCATCAACACTTTGGAAACAGGGCTGAAACAGAGGGGATTATGGGTAATGCTGCAATGAGCTGTTTGGTGTTTCAGCCAATCAAAGACAGGCTCTGGATATATCTGAGACCTATAATATATTGATGGAAAACAGTATAATAGGGGACCTTTAATACAAGATGATTGTCATTCAAACTATAAACTCACTTTTCCTGCAAGGCGTGATGCTCCTTCCTCAAGTTCTGCTCTGCAGTGACTGTCCTTAGATATAAGGAACCTGTTAGAGGAAGGATTAGACCGTCAAGAAAACTTATTTTACACCATGATACTCTATAGTGGTGCAGGAATGAGTCTTAAACCCCGTAATGAGTAAGCATTTTGGCCCTTCCAGTTCGCCTGTCTCAAAGGCAATGGTTTATTGAATTGGTTTTTGGTTTGAAGTCTGAAACAAGTTCTGTGCTGAAAATATTTTTACATTTTATTCTATGAGTGGTGCAATAATGCATCCTAAAACAGGTAATCAAGACAATTGTTTGGTATTTCCGGGATCTATGGTCTTGAAGTCAATGAGTTTGTGGTTAACACAACCGAAACAGATTTTAACATTTTGTTCTACTATATAAAACAAGTCATTAAATACCCCACAGGCGAATTTAAAAACAAGAGTCTAAATGAGACGACTAAACGTCATCACGCCCAACATTAGCCACCTTTAGCTTAGCGGTGGTGACGTGAAGTCATGTGACCGTGCTGTAGTTCCTTTATAGCCCAACATTAGCCACCTTTAGCTTAGCGGTGGTGATGTGAAGTCATGTGACCGTGCTGTAGTTCCTTTATAGCCCAACATTAGCCGCCTTTAGCTTAGCGGTGGTGACGTGAAGTCATGTGACCGTGCTGTAGTTCCTTTAGAGCCCAACATTAGCCTCCTTTAGCTTAGCAGTGGTGACGTGAAGTCATGTGACCGTGCTGTAGTTCCTTTATAGCCCAACATTAGCCACCTTTAACTTAGCGGTGGTGACGTGAAGTCATGTGACCGTGCTGTAGTTCCTTTATAGCCCAACATTAGCCTCCTTTAGCTTAGCAGTGGTGACGTGAAGTCATGTGACCGTGCTGTAGTTCCTTTATAGCCCAACGTTAGCCACCTTTAGCTTAGCGGTGTTGAAGTAAAACCCCTGCACCACTCTTTTGTGTCTGCTGATGCTTCATACCTGGTGTGGTCATTTCCATTTTGATGCTCCTCATAGTGCTGTGGGCCACAGTGGAGTAAGGCGACGGTAATATCAGCAATTTCATCAAACGGTCATACACTGTCTGGAAAAGGCTGGTAGGAATCATGACACCTGACTGGAAAGATAAGTACAGAATCAGCAAAACTGTAAAACTGACATCACTACCAACTGTATTTCGGACAAGGCAATGCTATTTCATTGTTAAATAAAGTCAAAAATAGTGTGTGAATCCGGATCAGATTCGTTCCCAAATGTAAAGAGGGTGTCGTTTTTCACATACTGATATACTGAACAATCTGTGCTGTTGTATTTGCTGTAAAGTGTCTCTACTGTAGGCTATTTTTATTATATGTACAGCACTTTGGCTCCACCAAAAATCGTTTATAAATGTGCTATAAATAAAACTTGATTTGATTTGATTTGAAATTTAATGAGTTCTTCCTTGTTGCATGCTTCCCCCTTTCACCAAGTTTCATTAAAATTCGGACAGTGGTTTTTCTATAATCTTACTGAAAGACAAACCACCTGAACTGAAAACATAACTTCCTTAATGAAGGTATAGAGATGTGTCTTACCTTAATAACCACAGAGTAGAGCATGTGCAGCACTGGGATCACATGTGTGAAGGATTGTGTTTTTTGGATCTAAGAGACATCAAATAAAAGATAACAGTTACATAACATTTATGAAAAAAATTAAGTATGCAGGCAGAATTATAAACAACTCTTCCTCTACAAGACAGACACACACAAGTCTTTGGAAATCTACATTGTAATTTGTAATGGACATTGAAATCTGAAGGCATATTTTAATGGTTTACCATCTCCTGCCTCTTTTTCAGCTCTTTGACCAGCAGTCTGATCAATGAAACGCTGCAGGAGGGATCGGCCTCCAGCTTCCTCTGAAGACTCCATCGCAGCATCCCTGCAGAGCACACAGATTCAAGATTCAAAGGTTTTAATGTCATGTGTGGTGGAAACTTATTGAGACAAACCAGTAAATAATATAAAATGGTGAGGAAACCTTTCCGTAACTGAATTGAAGATTCTTGGAATAAGACAGTCTTTTAGGGAGTTTATTTTTGCAAGAAGGTACATCGTACAGCTGACATCCTCGTGGATTCATCTTCTTATTACAGACACATGCATTTCCTAACATTCTGTCTATATGCTGTAAAATGTATTATCTCTTGGATTTACACACGGCATCTATTGCACGTCTGTCCGTCCTGGGAGAGGGATCCCTCCTCTGTTGCTCTCCCTGAGGTTTCTCCCATGTTCCCTTTAAACTGTGGGTTTTCTCTGGAAGTTTTTCCTTGTACGATGTGAGGGTCTAAGGACAGAGGGTCTAAGGACAGAGGGTCTAAGGACAGAGGGTCTAAGGACAGAGGGTCTAAGGACAGAGGGTCTAAGGATAGAGGGTCTAAGGACAGAGGGACTAAGGACAGAGGGTCTAAGGATAAAGGGTGTCATTTTTCTCATACTTATATTCTGAACAATCTGTGCTGTTGTATTTGCTGTAAAGTGTCTCTACTGTAGGCTATTTTTATTTTATGTACAGCACTTTGGCTCCACCAAAAATCGTTTATAAATGTGCTATATCAATAAAACTTGATTTGATTTGATCGTTACAGAGAGTCAAGCAGTCTGCAGCGAAGTACAAAGTCAGAAGGTCTTCAGAGGGTCTGATATTCACACCAAGAATAGAAGAGGAGGGGCTGAGACACACAGAAAAGATAATCATACTATATATAGGATTCTTCAAAACATGTCTTCTAGCAAATGGAGAAACGTCTACACTTCACAAAAGGACAACACCCTAACCTTACGACACTGAATAGCTCTAACCCCATTCACCACTCATTTAGGTTATTGCTGCTTCCTGAAATAGCTTGTAAAAGAAGAACAGATGGTGAACTTTAAAAGCTCCCTAAGTATGATACAAGTTTCCATCACACATGCACATGAGCTACAGTGTAGAAATGGAAATGATAATCCTATGAACCTAGCTCCTCCAGCGATGCAACATATATAATAAAATACAAATAAAAAATAGTGCAAGAAGTCTATATACAGGTTAATAGAATATGAACAGAATGTAAAATTAAATATTGTTTATTGCGGTGATAACTATTTAGATAAATACGTAAATTGCAAGATGACAAACAGATGAATGTTTATCGAGGCACTTAACATGATGTTGATGTTGGACTGTGGACATTACACTGATGTTTGTTGACTAATATATCAATTATTCTTGTGGATTGTAGTCCAGTGTAGACAATATCATTTTCAAGTAATATAGAGATGCTTGTAAGACCTCAAAACTAAAAGTAATACAGGTTTAGGTTATTGTTAAAATCTAAAACCTAAATCTAAGACTTTTCGAGAAATAAAGTATTTGTTTTTAGGTGTTTACATTTTAGTACTTCTCTTCGTTTATTTATACTCTTTTACTTCTCTTATGTGTAAGGCCTTAATGCTGCTGCAATGCAAACAAACTGTTAAATAGGCTTAGTTTTCTTTTAAATTGCCCTTCATTCCCTAATTTCTACCTTTCTGAAAAGCATTTTGTCCGCCCGTCTCTTTGAGGAGAGCCTGGATGTTGTTGTTCAGACTGGACTCCAAAGTCGAGGGACGAACATCAGCTTAAAAAACAAGATCATACATGTTGTTGTTATATTATCCTCCACAGTCAAGTTCACATTCTCCTACGCCGAGTTTCAACCAGCTGAACAGGTTCGATTCGTTTTTGGAGGAAATTAAAAAGCACTTACTGGTAGAATCCACCATGTTGTCTGCTTTTCAGACTCTCACGAAACAGGTCGTCCCAACCAGAGCAAATGAGGAAAACTGAAACATCAGCTTAACTAACATTAATGATAAAAACACTTGCAACCAATCAGAAGAAATACAAGCAAAACAACCTAAATTAAACTGTCAGAGCTTACCATTGTAGCTTTCTACTTTAATTAATGTCTTCCTCTGCTTCTACCTGTGCTGGAAATGACGTAGTAAAGCCAGGTAGTTTCAAGTGAGACAGGGTGAGAGGAGGAGGAAGTTCACAAGAGGGCAGTCCCTGTCTAGACTGCAAGAGCCAACAAAATGAACACAACTGCATTAAGAAGGATTTTATTTTTGAAATGTGGCGAGATATAAACACACAATGAAATGCAATCACTTCAAAAATAAATAGCTTATTTTACAACTCATATATTTACTCAGCAGGAAGTACACAGTGGTAATCAAGTAATCAGTTTAATGCTCCTGACAGCAGATCATTGGCATTCATTTTCTATTTTTACAAACTTCAAGCAACTACGGGAATTAAACTAGACTGAAAATAAACGTTTCTGGAAACAGTCCAACACGCCTCCTTTTGATCAAGATGTGACACAGCTGTATATCATCTACAGATAAACCTGAAATGTGAGTGCTTTAATACATGTATTTGTACAGTGCTACTTCATAAAGTGGTGCAGGAATGAGGAACCAAGAAATTAGTCAGCACTTTAGGAGTTTATGTTATCGCTCATCTGGAAGTCAATTATGTTTTTGGTTGTTAGCCTGAAATAAGGTCTGTGGTTAACAGATATTTTTGATCTACAACATAGAATACGTCACTAAATACCACGTTGATGAATTTAAAAATGGCGGTTGCTAACAAGTGTCTAAATGAGACTACTAAACGTCATCACGCCCAACATTAGCCTCCTTTAGCTTAGCGGTGGTGACGTGAAGTCATGTGACCGTGCTGTAGTTCCTTTATTTATAGCCCAACATTAGCCAAAATCCAATTGAAAAATCCCATTGGCTTTTTGCTGAGTGAACCAGGTAGATGCTAACTTTCAGATTATCCTACAAAAATACCTCATCCCTGCACCACTTGAATCTCTTTTATCTACACAGTCTCTTTATTCCGCATCCAGCATTGCTTCAGTTTTAAGAATCCGTGGATTGTCTCAGACTGAGTGTTTTCAGGGCGGAGAGGCAGAGAAGGAGGTGAGGGGGAGGCAGAGCAGGGAGCAGTAGGACGGGTGCAGAGGCTGAACCTGACCCGGAGACGGTTTATAGGATCTCCAGTCTGAACCACTTCCTGATTTAGAGCACAGAGACACCTCACACCTGCAGGCACAGAATATAATGATTAACGCAAGTGCAGAAAATTAGGCTGTGAAATTCAAATGTAATATCTGCTTTAACTAACACATCATGTAAACATTTTAGTATTTACTCATTTCCACCACATTTAGCCATTATCTTATGTTTGACCTATGGTGCAAATAAATGCTATTCTCCTGGTTTCTATTAGAGGCATATTAGCTGTTTTACTGCATGAAAATCAATGTTGCTGCTCATCATTGACATATCCCAGACTGTGAAGAAAAATAAATTCAGCTTAGCATTTAGTACACAGAAAGTTGCATTATTTAAACATGATGATAACTGAAAAGTAATGTAGGGAGGTTTACACTTTTGTATTGGTACTTATTATTGTGTTAAGGTTTATGATCTACCTGGTGACACTTTGGATGAACTTCTTCTCATCCTGATCCAGACACACAGCAAAAGTCGTTCCAACTTCTCTTCCATGAACCTGCACCTTATCCACCTTCACCTCGGAGACACAGATGTGCTGCAAGCGGAGAGAAAAGAGTTGTCATATTCATGTGTTCACACCACCTGTATGCTAGGCTATAAAGGAACTACAGCACGGTCACATGACTTCACGTCAACACCGCTAAGCTAAAGGCGGCTAATGTTGGGCTAAAAGGAACTACAGCACGGTCACATGACTTCACGTCAACACCGCTAAGCTAAAGGCGGATAATGATGGGCTATAAAGGACATACAGCACGGTCACATGACTTCACGTCCACACCGCTAAGCTAAAGGCGGATAATGATGGGCTATAAAGGACATACAGCACGGTCACATGACTTCACGTCCACACCGCTAAGCTAAAGGCAGCTAATGTTGGGCTAAAAAGGAACTACAGCACGGTCACATGACTTCACGTCACCACCGCTAAGCTAAAGGCGGCTAATGATGGGCTATAAAGGAACTACAGCAGGGTCACATGACTTCACGTCCACACCGCTAAGCTAAAGGCGGCTAATGTTGGGCTATAAAGGACATACAGCACAGTCACATGACTTCACGTCACCACCGCTAAGCTAAAGGCAGCTAATGTTGGGCTATAAAGGAACTATAGCTCGGTCACATGACTTCACGTCACCACCGCTAAGCTAAAGGCGGCTAATGTTGGGCTATAAAGGAACTACAGCACGGTCACATGACTTCACGTCCCCACCGCTAAGCTAAAGGTGGCTAATGTTGGGCTATAAAGGAACTCCAGCACGGTCACATGACTTCACGTCACCACCACTAAGCTAAAGGAGGCTAATGTTGGGCTATAAAGGAACTACAGCACAGTCACATGACTTCACGTCACCACCGCTAAGCTAAAGGCAGCTAATGTTGGGCTATAAAGGAACTATAGCTCGGTCACATGACTTCACGTCACCACCACTAAGCTAAAGGAGGCTAATGTTGGGCTATAAAGGAACTACAGCACAGTCACATGACTTCACGTCACCACCGCTAAGCTAAAGGCAGCTAATGTTGGGCTATAAAGGAACTACGGCACGGTCACATGACTTCATGTCACCACCGCTAAGCTAAAGGAGGCTAATGTTGGGCTATAAAGGAACTACAGCACAGTCACATGACTTCACATCACCACCGCTAAGCTAAAGGCAGCTAATGTTGGGCTATAAAGGAACTACGGCACGGTCACATGACTTCATGTCACCACCACTAAGCTAAAGGAGGCTAATGTTGGGCTATAAAGGAACTACAGCACAGTCACATGACTTCACGTCACCACCGCTAAGCTAAAGGCAGCTAATGTTGGGCTATAAAGGAACTACAGCACGGTCACATGACTTCACGTCACCACCACTAAGCTAAAGGAGGCTAATGTTGGGCTATAAAGGAACTACAGCACAGTCACATGACTTCACGTCACCACCGCTAAGCTAAAGGCAGCTAATGTTGGGCTATAAAGGAACTACGGCACGGTCACATGACTTCATGTCACCACCGCTAAGCTAAAGGAGGCTAATGTTGGGCTATAAAGGAACTACAGCACAGTCACATGACTTCACGTCACCACCGCTAAGCTAAAGGCAGCTAATGTTGGGTTATAAAGGAACTATAGCTCGGTCACATGACTTCACGTCCCCACCGCTAAGCTAAAGGCAACTAATGTTGGGCGTGATGACGTTTAGTCGTCTCATTTAAACACTTTAAATTCACCAGTGGGGTATTTACTGACGTATTTTATGTTAAAGAACAAAACTTTAAAATCTCTTTAGCCTCAGACCTTATTTCAGGCTAACAACCAAACTCACAATCCGAAAACCATTGAATTCTAGACGAGGGAAAGGAATTCATCAAATGCTGACTCATTTCTGGGTTTTAGGGCTCATTCCTTTACCACTCTATGAGATTATGTTTGAACCCTTTACCTGGTTGTAGCCCTTTTTCGACTTGGAGCTCTTCAGGACTTCTGTCATTGTCAGCTGCAGACTTTCTATTCTTGTATCTGGACAGAAGAGATTTGATTTGCTTGGAAAACAATAACAAATAATATATATATCGAATAAAAACACAGGAATGTCTCAGTTATACACACCTAGCTGCTCAGGTTTCCTGCAGGCTTTGTAAAGATTTATTGACGTGCAAACCATATCTGTCTGGGTCCACTGACTCCTCCCACTGACAGCCACCTGTAAACGGGTGCAGATGTAGAAATACCTTACAGTGCGTTATTGTTTGTGTAGACAGGAAATCTGTGTGTGCCAAATCAGGAAAATACCTTGTTGTAGCCAACTCGCAGATCTAAAGGAACAGCCTCCCGCTCTTTATCTATTCCAAACCTTTTGCTGGCAGCACCTACAGAAATACACATTAGACCAAGTGTGTGTGTGTGTGTGTGTGTGTGTGTGTGTGTGTGTGTGTGTGTGTGTGTGTGTGTGTGTGTGTGTGTGTGTGTGTGTGTGTCTACATTATTGTGATTGTCTGGGTTTGTCTGTCTGAGTGTGACGAGTGTGACTCACCCATGGCCTTCACCGCTCTGATTCCTGCAGAGTGTCCGAGCTCCAGAGAGTGGAGGAACACCTCCCTCCTCCTCTCTCCTCCAGCCAGGGTGAGCTGTGTGGAGGAGGAAACATTTGTATTAGCATCCATTACATTACATTACATGACTTTTAGCTGACGCTTTTATCCAAAGCGACTTACAATAAGTGCATTCGACCAGGAAGACACAACCTTGAAGAAAACAGAATCATATAAGTACATCAGGTTTCATAGAGCCAAACATTTCAAGTGCTACTCCATTGGCTTTAGGTAAGCCAGTCCTTTATTAGTATAAAAGTGCTTCGTTAATAGTTCTAACGCTCGAAGTGGAGTCGAAAGAGATGAGTTTTCAGTTTGCGCCGGAAGATGTGCAAGCTATCTGCCGTCCTGATGTCAATGGGGAGCTCATTCCACCATCTTGGAGCCAGGACAGCAAACCCACGTGTTTTTGCTGATGGGAACTTGGGTCCCCCTCGCAGCGAGGGCGCAACGAGTCGTTTGGCTGATGCAGAGCGTAGTGCACGCGCTGGGGTGTACAGTTTAACCATGTCCTGGATGTACGAAGGGCCAGATCCATTCGCAGCATGGTAAGCAAGTACCAGTGTCTTGAAGTGGATTCTAGCAGTTACCGGAAGCTAGTGAAGGGAGCGGAGGAGCGGAGTGGTGTGGGAGAATTTAGGAAGGTTGAAGACCAGACGAGCCGCTGCATTCTGGATGAGCTGTAGAGGTCGAATGGCACATGCAGGTAGACCAGCCAGGAGGGAGTTGCAGTAGTTTAGGCGTGAGATGACGAGAGCCTGGACCAGAACCTGAGTCGCTTTCTGGGTCAGCTGGGGACGTATCTTCCTGATGTTGTAAAGCGTGTATCTGCAGCAACGGGTTGTAGCAGCGATGTTTGCAGTGAAGGACAGGTTGTTATCTAGGGTCACACCCAGATTCCTTGCAGTCTGAGTCGGGGAAACAACTGAGGTGCCGATGTTGATTGTTAGGTCAAGAGTGGGACAATCTTTTCCCGGGAGGAAGAGCAGCTCAGTCTTGTCAAGGTTGAGCTTGAGGTGGTGAGCAGACATCCACTGAGAGATGTCAGCTAGACAAGCAGAGATGCGTGCAACGACCTGGGTCTCTGAGCGGGGAAAGGACAGAATTAATTGGGTGTCGTCAGCGTAGCAGTGGTATGAAAAACCATGCGGGCTAATGACTGATCCGAGCGAGTTTGTGTACACGGAGAAGAGGAGGGGACCAAGAACAGAGCCCTGAGGGACCCCCGTAGTTAATTGACAAGGGTCGGACTCAGACCCTCTCCAAGTCACCCTGTAGGTAGGGTCTTTCAGGTATGAGGTGAGGAGGGAAAGTGCAGAGCCTGAAACTCCATGTTTTTGGAGAGTGCGAAGGAGGATCTGATGATTCACCGTGTCGAATGCAGCAGACAGGTCCAACAGGATGATGACAGAGGAGAGGGATGCAGTTTTGGCAGTGTGCAGTTCCTCCGTGACAGCAATGAGAGCAGTTTCTGTGGAGTGACCTGCCTTGAAACCAGACTGGTGCGGATCCAGAAGGTTGTTCTGATTGAGATAACAGGAGAGTTGTTTAAAGACAGCGCGTTCAAGTGATTTAGACAGGAACGGGAGGAGAGAGACAGGCCTGTAGTTTATAACATCAGACGGGTTGAGAGTGGGTTTCTTTAGGAGAGGGTTTACTCTTGCCTCCTTGAGACTGTTTGGAAAGTGACCAGAAGTTAGAGAAGTGTTGATGAAATGGGTGAGAAACGGTAGAATATCAGGAGCGATAGTCTGAAGGAGGTTTGAAGGGATAGGGTCCAGAGGACAGGTGGTAGGGCGGGCAGAGGTAATGAGGGTAAGAACCTCACTTGGAGAGAGAGGGGAAAAGGAGGTCAGTGTGTGGGTGGAAGGAGGGTCTGGTGACCCAGCGGTGAGTAAAGGTGAGTCAGAAAAAGAAGAGCGAATATCATCAACCTTTTTTTCAAAGTGGGTAACAAAGTCGCTTGACAGAAGTGAGGATAATAATAATAATGTATTAGCATCCCCATTAGCACTAGCATTAGCACTAGCTATCTTCCTGATGTCCACACACACACATACAGGTAAAAACATATTTACACACTATACAGCGGTACAGGGATGATGTCATTTTGTAAGCCGACCCTGAGGGTAGAATCTCTCTGGTTCCCTTGACAAAAAGCCAATGGGATTTTTCCATGTGATTTTGGATTATTGCAGAAAATAATCTCAGTGTAAAACAAAAGTTTATGATACTTCCACGTTTTGTTCAGCAAGGTCCCATCACATGGCCATTTCTACTGATCATAATTCCATTGTTGAGGTCTACTAGAATAGATTTACATTGTTCAATATTCCAAACTCACATTGGTTTCTCACAGCATCTCTGTATAGTATGTGTATTCACTCTCTGTCCTAAACGGCTTGTTGGAGCTCCCCCCCCTCCCTATGAGCCCCTGTGCTCTCATTCCTGCACCACTCTTGGGCCTATTCCTCAACTAATAACAAACTTTATCTACAAATAAATAGTAATTCATGACAAACATAAGTCCATTAGTCTGAAATGATTTTTAAATTCTATATTTGTCTTTTCTGCACCCTCAGACATATTAAATTCCATATTTAAAAGGTATTCAGGCAGGTATTTACTGCTGTGTGGTGTGTGTGTGTGTGTGTGTGTGTGTGTGTGTGTGTGTGTGTGTGTGTGTGTGTGTGTGTGTGTGTGTGTTGTGTGTGTGTGTGTGTGTGTGTGTGTGTGTGTGTGGTGTGTGTGTGTGTGTTGTGTGTGTGTGTGTGTGTGTGTGTGTGTGTGTGCGTGCGTGCGTGTGTGTCTCACCTCTGCCTGGTAGAGCTGCAGCAGAACAGGCTGGTCTGCATGTCGACAGTAATAAAGCACCATGTCAGTCAGCAGGTTCTCCGTGCTGCTCACTTCCTTACAGGCAGGCTGCACACACAACACAGTCAACATTTCAGTCAATATATCAGAACAACTTCACCCTATTTACAAACAGCTTGTGAACAATTATTTAAAAACTCCTAATTTTCCATAAAATGCATGAAAGGCTCCCTCTTGTTTTCCCTTAAGTTTGTAATGTATATCATCCAAAGAGGCAGGAAGACATTTTTCCAAGATAAAGCTATGAGACGATTAGCATGGAGGAGGCCCTTATCAATTAAAGCTCTCTTATTTTTATTGGATGATAAGCATAGTTGGAATCACTTCGGGTTTAGAGGTCGTTTGATGCCTATCATCCCGTCTACCTGACACAAAAACTCCCTAATTTCCCTAGAAAAAATCCAGGTCTGTTACGTGAGCAGTTTTTCTAAATGTAAAAGCTCATAAAGGGTGCCTCTTGATGTCGCTGAAGGAATAAGATGCCAAAATAAACACTTTAACATGAAGTGTTATCTTGAGTGATGTGACGCATGGAGCAGAAAGATGGCGGACCTGACAGAGGACTTCAGAGGACAGGCTGAGCAGACTGAGGACGTTCCTCTCGTACCACGAGTCCATCAGACCCAGCATGTGGGCGATATCAGTGGAGTCCTCCAACACACCACCATTACACTCCTGGAACAATAAAAGGACACAAGGGAATACAGGAATTACATTTAATTATAGTTTACTGTTAACATGTCTGTGAAAAGTAGTATCTGTAACACCTTCTAATGACTTCTGAATTCTTGATTCTGATTGGTCCATTTTTTTACTTTCTGGAGTCTGTTATTACTTAATAGCAGACTGTTGCTAAGAAAACTCTAATTTGTTCTTTCAAGTATGGACAGTAACGTTTAACACACCAGGGGTAATTTATAGTGTTATGCACAGCTTAGTTGAATACTAGATTCTGATTGGTTGGTTTGGAAATGAGTGGTCTATTATTACTTAATAGCAGACTGTTGCTAAGGACGCTCCGATCAGTTCTTTCAAGCATGGACAGTAAGTTTAAACTAGTGATTCCACACCAGGGGTAATGTATGTTGTTACCCACAGCTTAGTTGAATACTTGATTCTGATTGGTCGATGTTAGACGTTCTGCAGTCTGTTATTTCTCTATAGCAGACTGTTGCTAAGGGGACACTCTGATCTGTTCTTTCAAGTATGGACAGTAAAGTTTAAACTAGTGATTCCACACCAGGATTAATGTTTGTTATTATACACAGCTTAGTTTAATACTTGATTCTGATTGGTTGGTTTGGACATACAGTGGTCTGTTATTACAGCAGACTGTTGCTAAGGACGCTCTGATTGAGAGTTGATATGCAGTTATATCTATTAACAGAACTGTTATTTTCAAGCTTTTCTATTTCTAAACTACTTTTGAGTCTTTTTTTGGTCAACAATATTGCATCTTGATATCGTCACAGTTGGTGTTTAATGATATCCGTGCCCATTTTTCATGGTCTCGTCTTAGCCATTGAAAAATAGACTGTTGTACATATTCGACTATAGTCATTTTTGTGGTTAGATTCTTAAGTTAGAGTACCAGTACCACATTGAAAAATACTGCCCTACAAGTAAAAGTCCTGCATTCAAATCTTACTGAAGTTAAGGTACAATAATTGACATGAAGATATATTAAAAGAACTTGAGTAAATGTCCGTTATTATATCCCACCACTGTGTTTACACTAGTTGGTCATTGGTCGGCTATTTTTATTTTATTTAGTCCTGTAATGAAGGTGTATTTTCATATTAAGTCAACCTCATCCTGAGAAATGTTGACAAAGATGGCGCCGGTGATGATGGCTGCCGTGTCTTTCGCTCCTCTCCAACTCTGCCTTTTTTTCTGCTTTATTTCAGTGTTTGTTTCCAATTACTTGTATATAGACTATTCTGCACTATTTCTATTATATTCTAACCCTATTTTAACTATTTTATCTGTTTTATTGTGTTGCACTGTTGGAGGAGCCTGTGACCTAAGATTTTCATCGTCATAACTACACTGTATGTACAAATGACAAAAAAAGCCTTGAATCTTAAATGAATCTTGAATGTTTTAATACTATAGGACTGGTATACATAGTCACAGATGTTCTCACCACAGAAGCAGCAGATCTTGAGCTTCCTGTCGACCCCTCAGTGGAAGTGTTTCCTCCTCCTGCACTTCCTGTCGTCCTCCCTCTGGTGGGAATGAGGTAAAACTGCAGTTTGCACGTCTTGGTGAGTCGTGGACATTTGCTCTCCTTCTGCTGCAGGTCGCTGTACGCCCTCGCCAGCCTCCCTGCCTCCTTATCTCCTCCAAACACCACCACTCTGACCAGCGTGGGCACTTTTCATCGAAAAGAAAAGTGGTTTAATGGCCAAAGATTCACGAGGGAAGACTTAAAACAGGTTTAATTATCCTAATTCGGGGAAACAGTATTTTATCTATCCATCCATCCATCCATACATCCATCCATCCATCCATCCATACATACATATATACATCCATCCATCTATCCATCCATCCATCCATACATACATACATACATCCATCCATCCATCTATCTATCTATCCATCCATCCATCCATCTATCTATCCATCCATCCATCCATCTATTCATCCCATCCATCTATCCATCCATATATCCATCCATCCATCCATCCATCCATCCATCCATCCATCCATCCATATCCATCTATCCATCCATATCCATCCATCCATCCATCCATCCATCCATCCATATATCCATCCATCCATATATCTATCTATCCATCTATCCATCCATCCATCCATCCATCTTTATATCTATCCATCTATCCATCTATCTATCTATCCATCTATCCATCCATCTATCTATCCATCCATCTATCCATCCATCCATCTCCATCCATCCATCTATCTATCTATCCATCCATCTATTCATCTATCTATCTATCCATCCATCCATCCATCCATCTATCTATCCATCCATCCATCCATCCATCCACTATCTATCCATCATCATCCATCCATCCATCCATCATCCATCCATCCATCCATCCATCCATCTATCCATCCATCCATCTATCTATCCATCCATATATCCATCCATCCATCTATCCATCCTATCATCCATCCATCTATCTATCCATCCATCTATTCATCCATCCATCTATCATCCATCCATCCATCCATCTATCTATCTATCTATCCATCCATCCATCCATCTATCTATATCCATCCATCCATCCATCTATCTATCTATCTATCTATCTATCTATCTTACCTTCCTCCACCACCCCTTCGTAGCAGCTCAGGATCGGTCTCCTGCGGACACAAACGTGTTTCCTCGGGGAAAGAGGATCCGGATGTTTGGAGAGGAACGTCGGGTGTTTGAGCTGCGATCCATTTCTTTGAGCGTCTTTAGTGAAATCGACCCGGTTGCCCATACTCTGAACTCTCCGGCAGCTCGCTGGGCTTCGTGGAGTCTTGAAGAACGAGGAGAATCGTTCCACGCCTAAGATGCTTCTCGACTTCTTCTTGGGTTTCTTCCGAAGCTTTGGCGGTCCCTCTTGTACGTCTTCGTGGGTTATATCCTCACTGAAGTCGCTCTCCCACGCCTGAAGATCCAGAAGGCGTGGAGAGGGAGTATCCGGAGTCTCTGGAGGAGGAAGAGGAGGCGAAGGAGATACGATTGTTCAGAAAGTCCACATCTTTGTTCCCCTCGGCCTCGTCTTCCTCGTCCAAGCTGGTGTCGTTTTTATCCTCCTCGTCTATTTCTGCTTCCAGGAAACAATCCGCAGCGGAGTCCATGTCGGAGTCCAGAAGGCTGTTCAGAAAATCTGCAGGAATGGGGAGAAGATTTGAGAAATGTTACGGGTAATTACATATATCTATCATCTTCTAATCTATTTTATTGTATTTACTTGTACTATTTTATCTGTTTTATTGTGTTGCTCTGTTGGAGGAGCCTGTGACCTCAGATTTTCATCAACATATCTACACTGTAGCTACTGTATGTACACATGACAATAAAAGCCTTGAATCTTGAATATCCAGTTTGAATCCCGCCTCGGTCAGGCCGTTGTGTCCTTGGGCAAGACACTTTACCCGCATTTTGCTCCTGTGGGTAATGTCCGCAGTAATGACTCTTACATGTCTAATATGTGTAATGTGTACTTGTAAAGCGCTTTGAGCACCTGTAAATGCGCTCTAATAAAAAATGTAATGCATTATTATTATTATCTAGAATGCTGGATTTGAGATTGTCCGTTTATAAATGTTTTCACTGTGTATTATACAGTCAGTGTAACATGTCATGCTTTGTGATTTGTCGTCTGCGTGTTGTCCTTTGCCTCATTTTACTTTGCATTTTTACTGGACCAGTCTTGTATTAATAACCTGATTGTTTGTTGTTTTGTGCACCTTTATTGAAAAAAATCAATAAAAAAATAGACAAAAAAAGACAAATCTAGTGAATAATGCAACATTTGAAAGTGATTCAAATTGACTTTATAACCAATAATATGTACAGTATCTCTGGAATAAAAAACAGACGTTCAAGGTTTTGGGTTAATCTTTAAAAATAATGTTATAGTAAAGTATAGTTATAGAGGTATTTTGATCCATATATGTACTTGTATACAATTTCTTATATTGATTTAAATTTATTTTTAATGTATGTGTTAATAAGTATTTTCGCTTAGTTTGTTTTCAGTTTGTATTATTATTTTATGATTTAAAGTATATTTATCAATCACGAATTTATGAATGAATTACTTTTCATTTCATGCTTTAGTACTGTATTATTGTTTCAGCCCCTGTACATTCCTTTGCTAAATTCCTATCTTGAGACTTGAAATAATATATATTTTGTATTGTTATATTTGAAATTGATTATACATTTATAGTTTTTTTTTTACCATAACATTTGAGGCTGTTAACCAAAACTATTTAATTGGATTACTCATGTGAGGGTTTTCTGCACTTTGCTCCAACTAACTTGGTTTTCTTGTACTTTTTCAGTCGGGACCCCCTTGGGTATTGGAAATATTCTTGGGACCCCCCAACCCGGTTCCCATCTATATTGGTAGGATTAATTGTATATTGTTGTAAAAACATTACATTTTCTCTGCTAATAATAAGAAGACACAAAGATCCAACTATATTTATATTTTATTATGGATTACACATGAACTAAAGTGCATGTAATAGATACTGTGAATGAATTTGGCCTAATTAAAACTGGTTGGCCTTCTTCCCTGAGTAGCAGATTTTTAAATTCAAATTTCTATAAGGAAAATATATTAATTAACTACTATTTCTACTGCAGGTTGCAAACGATCACATCACTTTACCATTCCTATTCCACACATAGCTTATCAATTACTTGTTTTGAGACTGCCCCTCTCAGTTCATTCTCAATGTTCAGCTTTGATCTGTATTTGGTTTTGATGGCAGCAGAAAAGCCGATATCACACAAGTAGGATGTTGCAAAAGGCAGCATTATGCCCACAGCTCTCTGACCAATGAGATATTTTCGAGCAGTGTTTGTTTACAATTGAATAATAATAATACATTTGATTTATATAGGTGCACTTTAAAAACAACGTCATCTCAAGGTGCTTCACAAAGCTAAAAGGAGAAAATAATAAAACAAAAAAATCTCCCCGCGACCCCCCCTGCAGTACCTCCGCGACCCACCAGGGGTCTCGCCCCACAGTTTGAAAACCACTGGTTTAATGTATTACATGGCGTAGTTGAATACTCAATTCTTAACATGTGACACGTTGTTAATACAGTAGCACAGACCGCTGTCAAGACGGAGCGCTGGACGTCAGATAAGTGAACAGAAGAAGGCAGAGAGGAAGTAAACACCAACAGAAACACGGTATGAGCTCTGTAGAGTTAAGGACTTGTCAGTGGATCAGAAACTGTAAACAGAGTTGGACAGTGCTGCCGTAAAGTTGTTGCTGTCGCAGTTCCAGACGTTGGTGCGAGTTTTTTTTTTCTTAGCGGAAGAAATACGATCATTTTTAAGTCAATAAAATAATTTCAATTAATATTGGGAGTCGATTCATTAGTTTGTTTAGTAGGGATAATGTGCAGCGACCTGGTCATTATGGGGAAAATAACCCCCGACAGGCTGATCAGGAGCCCGACACGAAGCAGAGGGACCTTGATCATAATGACCGCCTCTCTGCACATTATCCCTTACTTAATAAATAAATAAAGATATAGAAACTTACCAAAGTTGTCGTTTTCCCAGGAGCATGTGTAACATTTGGGTGAGGGCAGCACGAGAGTCTCAACATTTCCTAAAGAGAAAAGGTCATGTTAAATAAGTACTACTGTTTACGTCAGTGTGGTCTGCAAACATTTTAAATAAATAAAGTGTTTCTCAAATTGTTTAAACATGACTAATAGAGGTGGCAACAGAGACACGCAGTCAATCAGTGCGTAAACAATGCTAAATAAATGGAACAGTGTAAATAATTAATCTGTGTGTAATGTTGAATTAATGTTAAACTTGGGCCTGCAACCATAGTTTTTGCTGTATTTTATTTTGAAAATCCACAGCGGATGTTTGTACTACATGCGGAGCTTTTAGCCAACGATGTGAGTCTGTTGGCTCGGACATAAAATCCGTCATAAATGTAGTCTACATTTCATATGAGGTGTAAAACCTATTTTAAATCACATATGAAGGAAATGCTTGTATAATCTGTAGTTGTATTGTTGATTTATTGTGTGAACGAGGCGATACAGATAAATTAAGCAGTCATTATTAGGCTGTAATTTGTTATACTGTTGGAGTGGTAAGCAGGCCTTTTGGTTTTTGGATATTTGGGGAGTTAGAAGGTCCGTGTGTGTTGTTTTGTATTACCTACCTACCCCTCTCTCTATCTATCTAGTTAGGTGGTCAGTGTGTTATTGGTTAAGTGGTCCTTGGTATGAAAACGTTTGAGAAACACTGGTTTACCTAATACGTTAAATAATTATCTATCCATGTCATTTTATGTTTATATCTTTTTTTTTACCAGTTTCAGTGCAGCCTTCAGGAGGAGAAGTGATGCTCTCTCCTAGTCTCTCCATACTCTGGATTAAAGTAGTCCTGGCTGTACTGAGATCAACTGTAGAAACTGCGTTCTCCATGAGATTATTCACCGTCTCCATCAAATACTCCAGCTCTCCAGGCCGCTTACTCTGCAGGAACATTAGAGAAAGCTTATTTTAGTTGAGGAACCTATTAACTGCATTTTGACTGGTGTATCATAGACTGCATGTAATGTGAGTCCCTGTAAAAGTAGAAGTACTCAGATCTTGTAGCTACTTGAGTAAAAGTAGAAGAACTCAGATCTTGTACTTGAGTAAAAGTAGAAGAACTCAGATCTTGTACTTGAGTGAAAGTAGAAGTACTCAGATCTTGTACTTGAGTAAAAGTAGAAGAACTCAGATCTTGTACTTGAGTAAAGTAGAAGAACTCAGATCTTGTACTTGAATTAAAGTAGAAGTACTCAGATCTTGTACTTGAGTAAAAGTACTCAGATCGTGTACTTGAGTAAAAGTAGAAGTACATAATATTTCTGACAACATTTAACAAAGTATAAGTTGACCAGGAGTGATGCCAACTTTTATTTAGGTCTTAATGTGTGCATATGTATAAATGTGTTGATCGTGTATATATAGGTATATACATATTTGTATACATATTTTTATATATATTTGTTTTTGTATTCGGGATTGTGGGAAACGGTATTTCGATCTCTCCGTCTGTACACACAAACTGAAAGATTGAAACTAAAGTTGACTTTGACTAAAGAAGCCAGAACAGGTGTGAGGAGGTGGGTCACCTGCAGGGCGCAGCGGAGCGTCTGCAGCTTCTGATTGGATCCCAGAGCAGCCTGGAAGGCGTGGAGGATGAGGAGAACAGAGACGTCTCTGCAGGAGTCCTGGCTGCTGATCAGCTGATCTGAGACGGATCGGACCTCCGGGGGGACGTCCTCCACCGGACCCACCAACAGCACCGTCCTGATAACATATGACACACACTAGTCAAGAGCAATTGTTGGGAAAATAGTGAATGTCCTCTTCCAATATCAAGGTATCCCAACTGTAGCTGTGAACATGACAGGATGTTTGATTACCTAGAAGAGCATCAGGACTGTTTTAGGCATATGATAGCTATGTGATTAACATGATGATTCAGCCTCTATTGAGATAGACATAATATGTCTATCTCCATAGAGGCTGAATCATCATGTTAATAAGTGTTAACATCATGTTAATTAAGTGCTTGTCATATTATGACAAGCATGCTCATTTCTGACGTGGAGCTAATCTGAAGTAAACATTGAATACTGCTTTCTATTCCTCCATCTTGTGACTGTGTGACTCCCTCTCTTGGATATCAGCATGTGAAGGACACTGTTCAGGAACTACTTGTTGCTCTGTATGTGATGACTACTTCCATTCTGGAGAGGATCACAAACACATGGATCCTGATGTTGAAGCTCAAGCCGGAGAGCAGTGAGATTTTTCAACAGCAATGATGTGAAAATACTATTAAACAGATCTCAAGTGAAGTTAAGAGCCTTGATTAAGTGCTGTTAATGCAATAAATGTAGCCAATTTGAATAGCTTTTAATGTCTTTAGGTGTGAGAGCCGGACTTACATGGTTTTGGAGTGGTGAATCTCAGGGGAAATGCCCTGCTCTGACTGAACCAGTCTTTGAAATGAAATACCTGAAACAAAAGGAGGAAGACCATTCAGTATCTCAGAGGGTAAACAGCGCGCCCCTGTGGTCACACTGATACATGATTTTTCTTACATAGCTCTTTTAGATGAACCTCGAACCACCAATTTAGGACTCACATCTATAATTTAGAAATGTCCTTAAAGTCGTCTTGAAAAAAAGACAGACTGAAAACAAAGTTACTTTTGTTTGTTGTGATTTTCATTCTGGCCACAGTTGCTGAAGTGCTAATGTGTTCTCTGTTGAGTGCATGGAGTTTTTTAACTTACCTCATCCATTCATTTATATTCCTACTTATCCTGACATTAATAACCTGTTTTTCTCACTTACATCTCAGGGCTTCTGTACATACTATTAATTTAAATCATTACCATAGACCCCATACTTGATCCCCAATCCTTAAATGAACACACAGGACGGACATCAGGTTTATTTTATTGCAGCACAGTCACCTGGTGCTCTGAGCTCCTGCTGCAGGACGTTCAGCAGCCGTTTGCTGGCCGAGCTGCAGGGCTCCGGCCAGGTCAGGAAGCTGTGGAACAACAGGTAGGCTTCCTGCAGCAAAACCAGGTCTGCAGCCACGTGAGGAGCCTGAGAGAAACAAGGACCAGAGGCTGGAAATCAATGGTTTTCTGAATGTGTTTTTGGTTATTAGCCTGCAATAAGGTCTGTGGTTAACACAAGGCGAATACATTTTTATTCTACGACATTGAATACATCAGTAAATACCCCACTGGTGGATTTAGAAATAGATGTTGCTAACAAGTGTCTAAATGAGACAATTAAACTTCATCACGACCAACATTAGCCGCCTTTAGCTTAGCGGTGGAGACGAGAAGTCATGTGACCGTGCTGTAGTTCCTTTATAGCCCAACATTAGCCACCTTTAGCTTAGCGGTGGTGACGTGAATTCATGTGACCGTGCTGTAGTTCCTTTATAGCCCAACATTAGCCACCTTTAGCTTAGCGGTGATAATGTGACGTGATGTGACCGTGCAACCCTGTTTCGCGGCATTTCGTGTAATAGTCACGAAATTAATTTAATCTATTGATTCGTGTTCACCAACACGATTTTCCCATTTTTTTCGTGTCACACAGAACGATTTTAAAAGTAATGTATTTCTATTGGTAGTATGTTTCGTGCCTGCACCACGTATTTTTGTCCGGTCGGGTCTTGGTAGACCGGAAGCTGTGTGGTTCATAAAAACCTTTTCTTACTCAATATCAAGCCACGATTATTGTTTTTATTTTAAATTGTATAATGTCGGACTTTTTTTGCTGTCCGTGAGGAAAATAAATGAGGCTCAGAGCCTCAGAATACTGAAATCTGTATTTTTTAACCTGTTAAACCCCGAACCTGTTTTTCAGGTTTCAGGCTCGAAAATGACATTCCCAGAACAAATGACCATATCTTCCCTTCTAAAAGGGTTAAATTAATAATCTTTTTTCTCAAAGTAATGATAAACCTGTGAGTTGGATGTAGAAAAGTCAGATTCAATATAGACGTTTTTTATTTTAAAGAAAATTCAGATTGAACATGGTAAAAAACTGTAAATTATAGTGTCCGTCCAAAACATATGTTGTACTTATAGTGAAAACTAACCTTGGATGATGGGTTAGTAGACTAAAAGCTTTAGGAATCCAAAGTACAACATATAATAAGTACCCTGTATCAAGATTGATGCAAAACAAGTAATATTTGACCTTTTTAGACAGATTTAGCACAAAAAAACCTCTTCTGGGGCCATTTGGGTGGATTTTCCATATCTCTGGCCCCCCTTGCTGGATTTTGACATGTGACATCTCTTCCTGACAGTCAGAGCCAATGGAATCGAGGGGAACTCCCACATAGTCCTTATTTGGTCATGTGTATGTGTGAGACTGCTGCATCACCGAGACCGGAAGCAGCAGCTAGCTGTGGTGGCTACCATTAGCAGCTAGCATTTACTCTCCGATGTTTACATTTAAATGGAATTATGGATTATAAATTCAATCAGTTTTTTATACATGGACGTTAAGAACCTATGGATTAACAGATTCAGCCGCGTTTTTTCTCATTTTAATGCCATTGAACACGTACTTTGATCAGATTGACAGCTACTTGTGAGACGATCTCCCTAGAAGCTTCGTAAAGGTACGTGTTGTGATGACTGTATTTGCTTCCCCTGTCGCGAGTCCGGATCACTCAGTGATGATACTATTTACCTACATAATCTATGGAGTCTCAGCTTTAATCGGATATATTGTATGTGCAGCTATGATAAGTAATAAGGGTACTTTTATCTTGAGTTCTGTGCCAATGTCCGTTAGCATTTTTCGCTCAGGGGTAATTTAGATGCTTCTTGTGAGACTTGTGTTTTGTTTTGGTAAACATGGTTTGTATCGGCAGTTAGCTGAGATTATTTCCGTTAATCTGGTATAACACATTAATAGGTTCTTAAATATTAAGATCCCCTGAGACACAGTATCGTGAAAAAAAGACCCAGGGTCCCCGCCGGCGGGGACCTTCGGGCTTAACAGGTTAAATCTTTTTTTCCTTCTAATTTGTTATTATTTACATTGCTTTTTAAATCGTTCTGTCTGACACGAAAAAAATTGGGAAATCGTGTTGGTGAACACGAATCAATAGATTAATTTTGTGACCATAACACGAAATGCCGTGAGACTGGGTTGGATCGTGCCATAAATTGTAGCAACAGTACATTTACAAAATAAAAAATCCTCTTACTTTAAGCAGGGTAGAAGAGAACAGAAGGGTAAGTGGCACCACCAGTTCATACCGACACTCTTCCAGCACCTGTAAAAGACGGAAGAATCCTGAAATTAAACCTGTTATTCCTCCTATAACTCTCTGGAAAATGATGTTGTTGTTTTTTCAGCTCTCTTTTCACCTCCTTTGTTTTCTTCAGTATTTTCTGCAGAAGTATGAGGAAGTTTTCTGGATGTCTCTTTACAAGTTCCTCCAAACACCAGCGGTTAATGCACAGCCCGGCTGAACAGACAAACAGAAACACTTATTTCTCCTTTTAGCTTTCATTCTGGTGTCAAAACACTTTAAATACACACACATAACTCACATTATGAGATGCAGAGAGAACAATGGTTATGCCACTTCTCTTTGTGGCCAAAAGTGTAGATTTAGTTGTTTTAGGAAGTCGTTGACAATAAAACTTGAAACTAAAGAGGACAAATTATGCTGATGGTCAGGTGTATATCAGTATGTAGTGTCTCTACTTTAAAGAGTCCTCTCCTGCTGATGTTCAGGTGTATATCAGAATGTAGTGTCTCTACTTTAAAGAGTCCTCTCCTGCTGATGTTCAGGTGTATATCAGAATGTAGTGTCTCTACTTTAAAGAGTTCTCTCCTGCTGATGTTCAGGTGTATATCAGTATGTAGTGTCTCTACTTTAAAGAGTCCTCTCCTGCTGATGTTCAGGTGTATATCAGAATGTAGTGTCTCCACTTTAAAGAGTCCTCTCCTGCTGATGTTCAGGTGTATATCAGTATGTAGTGTCTCTACTTTAAAGAGTCCTCTCCTGCTTATGTTCAGGTGTATATCAGTATGTAGTGTCTCCACTTTAAAGAGTCCTCTCCTGCTGATGTTCAGGTGTATATCAGTATGCAGTGTCTCTACTTTAAAGAGTCCTCTCCTGCTGATGTTCAGGTGTATATCAGTATGTAGTGTCTCCACTTTAAAGAGTCCTCTCCTGCTGATGTTCAGGTGTATATCAGTATGTAGTGTCTTGTCATGTCTAGGAAACTAATAGTGAAAGTGTATTCTTTATGTTAGTTTTGTCATGTCCCTTTGCCCTGTGCTTTATGTTTATTCCCTTAATTAATCATCCCTCTCATTTCAGGCCTCCACGCTCCCCGCCCCCTTCTGTCTCCTGCGTCCTTGATTGTTTTCCCCGCCCTGATTGTTTCCACCTGTGTCCCCTTTACCTGTGTATATATTGTGGTAGCTTCCTCCTGTTCATTGTCAGTTCGGTGTCTTACTATGACCCACGTTCCTGATTACCTCACGGACTTCCCACGGATCTACCTCATTGATCACTTGCTAGTTTTCCTCGAAAGAGTATATTTGTTTTCCTTGTTTTGATTACTGTGCTAAATTCCAGTAAAGTCTTTATTTTTTGAGAACACTATCTGAGTCGTGCAATTGAGTTCATGCCTCAGAGTCTCTCCTTGACATGTCTCTACTTTAAAGAGTCCTCTCCTGCTGATGTTCAGGTGTATATCAGTGTGTGTAGTGTCTCTACTTTAAAGAGTTCTCTCCTGCTGATGTTCAGGTGTATATCAGTATGTAGTGTCTCTACTTTAAAGAGTCCTCTCCTGCTGATGTTCAGGTGTATATCAGTATGTAGTGTCTCTACTTTAAAGAGTCCTCTCCTCCTGATGTTCAGGTGTATATCAGTATGTAGTGTCTCTACTTTAAAGAGTCCTCTCCTGCTGATGTTCAGGTGTATATCAGTATGTAGTGTCTCTACTTTAAAGAGTCCTCTCCTGCTGATGTTCAGGTGTATATCAGTATGTAGTTCTCTACTTAAAGAGTCCTCTCCTGCTGATGTTCAGGTGTATATCAGTATGTAGTGTCTCTACTTTAAAGAGTCCTCTCCTGCTGATGTTCAGGTGTATATCAGTAGTGTCTCTACTTTAAGAGTCCTCTCCTGCTGATGTTCAGGTGTATATCAGTATGTAGTGTCTCTACTTTAAAGAGTCCCTCCCTGCTGATGCTCAGGTGTATATCAGTAGTAGTGTCTCTACTTTAAAGAGTTCTCTCCTGCTGATGTTCAGGTGTATATCAGTATGTAGTGTCTCTACTTTAAAGAGTCCTCTCCTGCTGATGTTCAGGTGTATATCAGTATATAGTGTCTCTACTTTAAAGAGTCCTCTCCTGCTGATGTTCAGGTGTATATCAGTATGTAGTGTCCTCTACTTTAAAGAAGTCCTCTCCTGCTGATGTTCAGGTGTATATCAGTATATAGTGTCTCTACTTTAAAGAGTCCTCTCCTGCTGATGTTCAGGTGTATATCAGTATGTAGTGTCTCTACTTTAAAGAGTCCTCTCCTGCTGATGTTCAGATGTAGTGTCTCTACTGGGACATGTCTCCATGCTTTAATGTTCAAAAAGCTCTTTATTGTTCTCATGCTGTAGCACCTCTTTTCACCCTCTGTCTGAAACCAGAGCCCAGTCTGCTCTGATTGGTTAGCTGGCCGCTCTGTGTGATTGGTCAAACCGCTTAGAGATGTCCCGCCCCTTAGCCTATCACGAACAATAGTGTTGAAGCGCTAGCGATAGGTGTGTGAGTGTTACATAGTGATGTCATAGTGATGGGAGGAGAAACTCCCTCTGGAGGGAACACAGGGATTTTAGCCTTTCCAGACCAATTTACATGCACTAAAACCTAGTGCCAAAAAAAATCCCAATAGTGCCTCTTTAACCACGGATACTCCTCCACACTCTGTCACCTATCTATCTGTGTCACCACTTTCAATTCCCGTTTGTCTTTGAAAGATGGACAACATGTTCCCTTTTTGGTATCTGTTACAGGTTTGAAAGCTTCATTCAATGGATAACATAATTGTACTCTGCATGTTACGCTACTACGTGGAAGTGAATGTTAAGACGTACATATATAAAACTATTGTTTACAGAAAAAAGCAGTAAGGATTCTATATTATTCAAGAGAACATGCTAAAGGAATATTTACACTTTTAAATGTAATGTTTTTACAGACATTGTTGGAGAAATACCTGAGGACAATCAGAAGGATATTTCATTCGTAACATCAAGAAGCACGCCTCGCCTCTCTGTGCTTGTATGTCCTGCATTGTGCCTGTGGTTTTACAATTACATTATACAGTTATCCTTTATCCTTTCTGTCCTATTTCTTCTTGTCTTTCTTCCGAATAGCTTGTAATGTATTGTGCTTTTAGGGTGTCTATTATCATCTGGCAGCTGGAAATTAACCATGTTGACTAAGGCTGCCCCATTTACTCTTTTGTGTTATGTTAATTAAAGGGGACTGTCCACGAAACCAGAAACTAATAAACCATTTTATTATTTTGCATCAAACTGTGAAACAAAATGACTTAAGCTTATTTATTTAAATGTGTTTAAGTTCAAGAAAATCTTTGAAGAAAGAATGATTAGACTTAACAAAGTGTCCGGTTATTCATTTCCTTACGCTCATCTTGATTCTTAATGTTTCTAATTTTTTAGAGGTCTGTTTTGATTGTGAATTGCAAACAAATACGGCAGTGTGCAAACTTTTCTCATCAACATTGGTTCAACTTATCATTTGTACTTTTTACCACATGTAGTTTTCTCCTGTGGTACATTATGTATTTACAGCATTGTGTTATGTTACCATTAAAAGCATATATGAGTCTTACCGTTCCAGAGTTGTTTATCCGGAGTGTCGATGCCCAAACCACAGAGGCAGCGCTCGAGGACATGCTGGATCCGATCCTCCGTGCACGAGCTCGACTCCATCTTCATCATCATCTTCTTCTGCTGTGTGAACATCCACAGGAGATAAAAACCAACAGGAAGTCCCAAAATAAAAAAATAAAAGAATACAGCCTTTGATTGTGTTCCGGGAAACCTAAAAAAAACTTCCTGTTATGGCCGTTTCCAGCACTGTATGATCATTATTGTTCCTCTCAGGAGACAATCAAACACAGTGTAGAGTTAACGGCTCAGTCGCACTAACAGAGATGCAAAAATAGATAGTGAGGGCAAAGACATGGTGCCACTTCCTACCCCAAGCTGTGAGTGAGTCACAGACTGTGGCAGCAAACCGGAGATGAGCTGGTCGAAAACATCAGTCACAACTCCTACTTCTCTACTTCATTCTTAAAAACCTCCTGCAGCTGCTGACTCAACACTTTGTATGACTCAGAGCAGCGATGGAGATGAGTCTTGCACAAGCGCAACTTCCCATTTTGGGGTTTTAACAACAGACATTTAGCTAAGTTAGAGCAACAAAACCCAATCTAGAGTTATGGACAAAACACATTGCTTTCTACAGATCATATGACACCTGTGGTTAGGCTGCATCTGATGAGAGACGAGTAGGCCTACCACACGCACCACACGATGAAATAGAACATGTTCTGTTTCACTCGGGAGATGTAAAGGTAACCTATCATGCTATTTTTGGGCATATATTATAGGTCGCAGATATATACAAATATATAAAAAACATATCTATGAAGTAGGGATGCTCCGATCGCCAATTTCGGGGCCGATCGCCGGAATCAGTATCGGCCGATACCGATCGCCGATCCGATCGAGTGGGCGGGGCCTAAATGGAAGATTCAAACATCACTTTAAATCTTCCATTTAAAGTGATGTTTAAAACTCAGTTAATGCTCATTCACTGGAGCTTCCACAAACAACAATCAACTTAATTATTACATTCAAATGATGTACATTATTCAAGTTTACATTCACTTTGGAGAATAACACGGGAGAAATGAGCGGAAGCCTCTCTCTCCCTCTCTCCCTCCCCCCTCTCTCCCTCTCCTGACAGCCTGTCAGTATCTCATGCAGCTCACTGATCCAGTAATGAGTGACCCGACAGTGAAGAATACATATATTTATAACTAGTTTAGCTTGTTCAAAAGGTAGATGAAATAGCTAAGTGTGTGAGGTCTAACTCTTGTGTGTTTCGCTCACCGGTCCGGCGGGCGGAGCTGCAGGATTTCAGCTTCACGTTACATTCCGCTATTTTACTGTCTTTTTCGGACACCTTAAAATAATGCCAGACCGGTGAAGCCATTTTGGCGAGCTTGTTTTGCCGCACACAGAGAAAAGTGTCATGTATTTTACGTCATGCGATCGGCTCTCGCGATCGGCATGTTTAGAGAGCACCGATCGATCGGTAGAGAGTGAGTATCGGCCGATCTCGATCGGTGACCGATCGATCAGAGCATCCCTAGTATGAAGTGTTTTGCTCAAAATACAGATCATGCATTTTAGACATCCCTCATACCCCTCTATTCCAGTCCTGTTAGAGAACTGCAGGTTCGGGGTCCTTAGCTTGAAAAAAGAGGAGGTGGAGCGTGTGCCCGCTCAGAATTATAGGAGATACAGCTAAATGATTAAACGCCATCATGTTCCAAACCACTTCTAGGATTATCTCTGAAACAGTTTGGAGCTCAAAGGCTTTCTCTCTTGCCGGTTATACCACAAGGTGAGTTCCTTTTTTTATTTCCTGCTTCTTCACACACATGCTCTCCAGTACAGGTTAGCTCTGAGTGTTAGCGATGCTAATGTAAACACCGACCATATTACGTCCAAAACAGTTGGGCATTGTTTCTGATAGCAACGTTTCTGATTGGGCCGTGGGTCCACCTTTCAGATATTACGTCATATCGGACACAAATCTGGATCAGCTCCGTTGTTCCCCGTTTTTAGAGATTTGGGTACGGAGGAAAAGAGAGAGGGTTTTATTTTCTGACGCTGCGTGAGTTCCCTGACACACCGGGGACACATATGTATGTATAAAAGACATCAGTGCACTATAGGTCCCCTTTAAGAATATTTCTCCGCCAATTTGCAAAGAAAGGTTTCAATACGACTGCAATGAGATTTACCTCTTGATAAGAAAGAAGCTTTTCCTCCTATTTGGCTTCCAGGATGTCGATGTGCATTAGGAAGCAGCGATTGTGCCCAGCTGTGTCGTTGAATAATGTGTTTAGTGACAGAACTGGAGAGCTGGGTCACCTGGGCTCGTCAAAACAGGAAAAGGCCTACAGGGAAATATGAATGAGCCGTTAAGAAAGGACAATGAGAGAAGCTGCACCTCAAAATAAAGCCTATACACAGTAGAGTGTGTTCACAGCTAGTTATCCTACTCTTCATTAACTGTGACCGTCAGCTTTTACTGTAAATGTGTTTATACAATGGATAGAAGATAGACTTAAATGATTCGTTTCAATCTAACTGTTGAACTGTTCATCCATTACTTTAGCAAGCCATTTCAACTCATTCATTATTCTTTAGCTAGCTATATCATCTGTTGAAACCATTGAACAGTATATCCACAGCTTTTAGCTAACACTTTAAAAACACACTTAGCTAACTTTTTTTAACTGTTTTTATCTATTACTTTAAGCTAGCTTTACCAACTGTGCATTCATCACTTTTAGCTAACAAGTGCATTACCTTTAGCAACCAATGGAGTGTTTTCCACCCCCATTATCTTTAGCAAACTATTAAAACTGCTTTATCTTTAAGCTAGCTCTTCAGTCATTTTAGCTTATTAGTTGAACTGTGTTATCCATTTCTTTTAGCTAACAGTTTGAGATGTTTGTCCATTACTTTTAGCTAGCAATTTCTGTTTAAACTACTTAGCCAGCAAACAATGTCAGTATTCACACACACCCCCAATTGCCAAAAATGTAGTATTCAAAAGTTCCAGCTGACTAAATACCCTTGTTGTAGTTAGTTACACACACATGCACTAGCAGGGATTATTCTAAAAGAAACAACAGTATATATAGAATTTGTATTCATTGGGATAAACCCCTTGAGATGCACCATCTCGTTTTCAAGGGGGTCCGACAATAGCAACAACTTACAGACATACATAAACAAAAAGACAAAATGCAAAACATGACACACAAGACAAACCACACACAGTCTGTGGAAGCTATTCAGTATTTTTCACATTTATTTAATGTATTTATTTGTTGTTTTTTGTTTGTAGAATTAATTAATTTACAGCCATATTATTTAAGTTAAGTTGTGTTCCAGCTGAAATGCTTTTATTTTGAAGGTGATGGGTCACTTTGGGCACACAGCTGGGTTTATTGAAGTCAATCAGGCACACAGCAGTCAGTGGGCACCAGGAAGGTCTATGGTTTTTTACCAGTATCAGGGCTGAGAGCAGCAAACATTTCAACACCTTTTGCTGTACTGTTCTTGCCAAGGTGAAACTAATAAATACCACAAAAACGTTGATGCCTTGTCTGGACAATGGACTCATTACCAACTCATGATCTGCGTAAAATCCACTATACCTGGTGCCTCAGTGGCCTTTTGAAGTTTTATTGTTGTTGACAAATAGCCACTACACAGTCTGTTAAGTGAAATTCAAGCAATGCACACAATCATTACAATTTGAGACAGTCGAGCAAATCAGTTTCATCAATATCAGTTATAACAAGTACAGACCAGTTGAAAGTGAGATAACAATGCATGTTGAAATAAACCCAATGATGGGGCTTTGAACATGAACGCTCTTCTGCCAATCCATTTCTTTGCAGAGGGGACAGAGAAATAAATCTGAACAGAATGTCTAACTTGATGATTTGGTGAGTAGGGTACAACATACTGCTTTAAATAAGGGGGATAGTTAAGATACATGCATTTAAATATCAGCTGGAGCCAATGCGTGTGTCTTCTTACATTTAAAGAAGGCCATTTAAGTTGGTTACACATTGTGCAGTGATGTGTACGAAAAGGACAACCAAGAACAAATCTGCATAGTCTGTTGTAGGCTATGTTGAGTGGAGCAAGATCTGATTTATGTGCATTTTGGTAGACAACATCACAATAGTCCATAATCGGAAGAATAAGTAACAGTAATATAACAGTGGGCTACAACTATTTGAAGCTTCTGGAAGGAATGAAATGACTACATGCACATACAGCTCATAATGTGCAGCAGCTCTGACTACCTGTCATATTCAGCTTCTGCAGGCAGGACAAATGGAGTAATTGTCTACTGAGGAAGCAGGTGTTACTCCATTGTTTGTTGCCCTGCAATGCCCTGTTACTGCCACAATGCAAAATCATTGGTCTCTATTCTGGATGGGTCTTTTAAAATAAAGATCATTTAATGCATGTGTTGCTTTGATTGCACAAAGTGGGGGAATAGTGAAGATACTTCTGGTATACAGCTGCCCTTTAATCTTTAAAACATATTGCAGTATCTTATCTTTCAATAAGGAAAAAGAAATACCAATGAGACTCAATTATCTGTTAAATACTTTGGCACGTCAAGCTGCTTTTAAAAGAAGGGGAACAGGAAATCTGCAGAGCTTGAATGACACATTGCAGTTACAAATAATGGAAGTTATGCAACAGAAGCTTGTTCCTGCTAGTGAGAGACCACATGAATAACTGTGTTGGCTTCTCTGCACGACTGACACTAAAACATGTAATGCGCTGTAAGCATGTTAAGGCATATGAAGAGGTTAAACATGAAGACAAATAGACATAAGTCTCACCAATCTACTGCAGTCATCAGTGTCCTGTATCATCCCAGATCAACCACAGCAGAGCAGAGGGAAACCATTCAGAGGCCACATCCTCCTGGGTTTGAGCTCTTCAGAAATAGACCCTCCGACTGTTCGAGAGTCTGTGCTGCAAAACAGGAACTGAAGGAGTCTTTAGGCCGAGGTGGTTTACATCACTTCATATAATGTCGTAGGAGGAGTTTACGTGACATGATATCAATCATTTCACAAGAGCTTGTTCAGTGCAATATGGTTCTAATCAGAGGAGGGAGAAGTACTCAGATCTTATACTTCAGTGAAAGTAGAAGTACTCAGATCTTATACTTCAGTGAAAGTAGAAGTACTCAGATCTTATACTTCAGTGAAAGTAGAAGTACTCAGATCTTATACTTCAGTGAAAGTAGAAGTACTCAGATCTTATACTTCAGTGAAAGTAGAAGTACTCAGATCTTGAGTAAAAGTAGAAGTACTCAGATATTGTACTTGAGTAAAAGGAGAAGTACTCAGGTCTTGTACTTGAGTAAAAGTAGAAGTACTCAGATCTTGTACTTGAGTAAAAGGAGAAGTACTCAGGTCTGGCACTTGAGTAAAAGTAGAAGTACTCAGATCTTGTACTTGAGTAAAAGGAGAAGTACTCAGGTCTTGTACATGAGTAAAAGTAGAAGTACTCAGATCTTGAGTAAAAGTAGAAGTACTCAGATCTAGTACTTGAGTAAAAGGAGAAGTACTCAGGTCTTGTACTTGAGTAAAAGTAGAAGTACTCAGATCTTGTACTTGAGTAAAAGGAGAAGTACTCAGGTCTGGCACTTGAGTAAAAGTAGAAGTACTCAGATCTTGTACTTGAGTAAAAGGAGAAGTACTCAGGTCTTGTACATGAGTAAAAGTAGAAGTACTCAGATCTTGAGTAAAAGTAGAAGTACTCAGATCTAGTACTTGAGTAAAAGGAGAAGTACTCAGGTCTTGTACTTGAGTAAAAGTAGAAGTACTCAGATCTTGTACTTGAGTAAAAGTAGAAGTACTCAGATCTTGTTCTTGAGTAAAAGTATAAGTACTCAGGTATTGTACTTGAGTAAAAGTAGAAGTACTCAGATCTTGTACTTGAGTAAAAGTAGTAGTAATAGTGTCGAATACTCTGTTACAGTAAAAGTCCTGCATTCAAAATGTTGCTGAAGTAAAAATAGAAAAGTATTATCATCAATTAAAATGAAGGTTGCTCCTCACTAACCTGGGGTCTGAATGCATTTCCCCAGTTAGGATCTTTGTGATGAGCTGCTGTTAAATGCAATTTCTTTTTACAGGACAAAATGTTCAAAACCTCTTTTCCTTACGATCCAGTGAGATCACAGCTTGGTTTAAAGCTTTTAATCTACTTGCTACTGTTTAAATAAATTGACAAAGTTGTGTTTGCATAAATTAACATGAAGGTAGAACATCTGTTTTATTTCTAAATAAATTGCCAATCGGATTTTATACTGGAGAAACTTACTGTTATACAAATAATGAAATGGTGTTATTTAGGCAATAATTATTTGGCAAAAACAATGAATTAAATACTTGAATCTTCCATATATTTGACCTATGTGTCTTACTAAAAAGTGTAATACATGATGTCACTGTGTTTGTGAGACGCTGCATACATGTCACTGATGATTGAAATAAGATTTGATTTGAAACCTCTATTAAAAAATAATTATTACATGGTTTAGTTGAATACTCGTTTCTGATTGGTCAATTCAGAACACGTGACACGTTGTTAATCCAAAACCATAGACTGTATATACAGTCCAGAGCAGACAGACCGCTGTCAAGGATTTATTGACCGTTGTTAAGGACGCTCAAATCTGCAGAAAGAAGTTCGGTCGATGTAACTGTATACACATACTGATGTGTTTCGAACCGACAAGACAAGAGGGACAAGAAAACAGCGGAGAAGCCACGGGTCGTTAACCACGACGCTGAAGTTGGCTTCCGATTCAGAGCATCCGATTCGGCAGTTAAGGGGAAAATTGAGGGACATTTAATTTACAGCGCTGAGCGAACAATCCTCCGTGTTTGAACCTCTTAAATAGCTGCATAGCCGATTTATCTGGACTGGATTATCCCAGAGGGTCTAAAGATTCTTTATAACCCAGTTTCAGATTTGTGAAACCTTTATTCTATTTGTGAAAATACAAGCACAGGTGGAAGGCTGAGGTCGCTGCAGCAGGCCAGGATCAGACTCAGAGAGTGAACCTCCCAGCAGGGCAAGCCTTTATGCCTTCTTTTCACAAATAGAATTAAGGTTTCACAAATCTCAAACTGTGTTATAAAGAATCTTTAGACTCTGGGATAATCCAGTCCAGATTTGATGAGTCTAGGTCTAGTGGTTTCAGATCAGGACCTGGTCTAATGTGGTCTACATGTGAAAAAAGCATTGAAATCTCCCTTTTTTGTATTTTCACAAATAGAATAAAGGTTTCACAAATCTGAAACTGGGTTATAAATAATCTTTAGATTCTCTGGGATAATCCGGTCCAGATAAATCGGCTATGCAGCGATTTAAGAGGTTCATACACGGAGGATTGTTCGCTCAGCGCTGTAAATTAAATGTCCCTTAACTTTCCCCTTAACTGCCGAATCGGATGCTCTGAATCGGAAGCCAACTTCAGCGTCGTGCAGAAACCCTCCTTTTTACGCAACGGTCCAGACATAGACATCAGACGGCAACACATATTCAGATTCCAGTTCCTTTGGCATTAGGGCAGGGATATCTAGATACTTTCCAAGGTTTGACATCATGAATTGTGCTACTTTTAAAGCAAGCAGCGATGTTTTCAAATCTGTAATCAAAAAGCTCCGCAAAAACGCAGCTTCGCGTCTGTTCTTTCCCCCATAATGACCGCCTAGCTGCACATACATACTTACATAACACATCCATATTTTTAAATGTATAATAAAATCAAAAATGTATATTTGTTCATAAATTAGTAACAAAAACAAATAAGTAAATAAATAAAAATATTAGTATTGTCATATTGTTAAACATCATTCACATAACACTTTTTACCTGTTTAACCAGATACTAAAGAACACAAAATCATCAACAGGTTCACATTGACTGATTTACCGGTTGTAGAAAACTGCGCTATATTTACCCATAAAGATCGACTCTGGTGGGACTCGAACCCACAGCCTTTGAATGCCTTCACAAACCTAGAAGTCCAATGCGCTATCCATTGCGCCACAGAGCCGGATGATTATATATTTACCCATAATGCATTTTGTTTTTCAAAATATTTTTTTTAATTAATTAAACACACAATACCAACATCCCTACCGGAAACTAGGAAAGTCATGTATGAACCTCTTTGAGAACACATTAGAAAACGGCTTTTTGGAACATGCAGTGTCAATAGTCAATAGTCAATAGTCCACCACAAGATGGCGCTGCTGCCTTTCTCTTCGCAGAGAACAGTCTCCCACTCCTCTGAGAGGGAGCAAGACATACAGCGTTAGTCTATGTTTGATAACCGTGAAGTAGCCGAAATACACCCTGCGAGCGCGGCTTCGAATCCCGCTCAATCCCTTGTATGTCAGATCATGCATAAATGTAAAGGTGGAGCTTATTTATTATTTTACCAAAGTTTTGGGTAGGTTGTGAATAAAATCAATGCATCATTTTCAGTTCTTCACCATAATCATATCGTGATTCATTGTCTGTTTATATGATTGTACTTTGTAACAGAATGTAAATCTTCAAAGTAACTCATGTTTTAAATCTGAGGTTCAGAGTCAAATCTTTGCCTCTGAAATGTAGTGAAGTATTAAGGAGCATGCAAGGAAGTACATCATTGTACAGTACTTCTATAGATGTACTTCATATAGAATAGTACTTAGAATATAAGTACTATGCCAAATATGTATGTGGATTATTGTTATGTTGTGCATTTATTATTATAATTACAACTTTTAATAAATGTATTAAAACTTAAGAACAAAGTATTAAGTAAATATAACAATAATGAAAGTGAAATATGATGATGAAATATTCAAAACAGAAACATCCATACTTGTTTTATATGTATTTATATATTTAAAACAACAGTAATAATATGTATAGTAAAGTGTAAAATAAATACTAATAACAAAACAAACAGTGCAAAATATATTAAAGTGAAAAAGTTGCAAAATAAATATCAAATATTTAAAAGAAGTTAAAAACACAGAAACATCCAAAACTGTTTTATACGTGCTATGAGGTCACAACAACATTGTAATACTAATATAAACAATAATAATACAAGTGTACCATATAACATAACTAACTAAACAGTACCATCAAATGTAAAGAAATAAAGTGTCAAATAAATAACAAAATGACCCACCGGCTCACAACATGAGGTCCTTTAAGGTGCATCCCCTCTCTTTTTGTCCCATACCCTCTTTGCTCCAGCACAGCCTCCAGTCCTCATAGGACCGGCTCTCTGATTCTTGACAGAACCAATTGCCAAAGTACTGTAAGTGGGCTGGTGGCTTCCTGTCTTTGTTGCACTTTTTGCAAATGATGGCGTCTGTCTTTTTGACTTTCTTTTGCCTGATCCAGATTGCTCCCTCTCCTCTTGTCTTTCCCTGTTCTGCTGTGTGGTGTACGGCACGTTACTCTGACCGGATGTTAGCGCCTGAGCAGCTGATGGCATGTTAAGAAGCATAATCTGAGAGCTTCCAGGCACAACCTGTGAAGGTCCAGGCTCTTGAGGAAGCTGCACAGATGGTATGTATGGTGTTGAGAAGGGTGGAGTCGGTGCAAGGAAGGGAAGAGCATAGCATGGAGGTGGTGGGGGGGACCTGTGAGATGGCCACTGGTTGGGATCTGTGCTGGAGCTTTGCCTCACCTGCAGTGTGTGCTGGTAGAACAAAGGTGTGAGGCTCAGCCAGACTGCCAGGAGTCAGAGATGTCCCTTTCTGCTTTGCCACAAGAAGCTTCTCAGGTCCTGCCATGGGAGCGTCAGGAGCGGGGATACCCTGCTTCAGGACCTGCTCTCCCTGAGACCTGCCGCGCCTGCTGAGCCTGCGGAAACATGAAACAATCAATATTAATGAACAAAATTGAATATTTGTAATGAAAAAGAGTTAGGATTATTTTGAACAGTAAATCATTTGATTGGGTAAGTATTACAGAGTAAGTATACATGTCTTGCAGTATATGCTTATTTACTCACCATTGTGTGACAGTTCCAACATTCACCTCTGGGAGCTGGATGGTGGTCTCAGTCATCACCTTGGGGTGGAAAGCTGGTCTTCTTTTTGGCGGTGCCCTCCCTTCACACTGGAGCCAGTTTGTGCGTAGAACTTCTTGACCTTTGTTGCTTCCAAAGTGTCTGTCAAGTTGAGAATACCGTCCCGTTTTCGAAAGCGTGGTTCCATCTAGAGAATAAGAAAATAGTCATATTTAAAAAAACTGAGAAATATGTAATTTATAACAAATATTTAATAAACAAGCTGTAAAAGATGACATATTGATTCAGAGAAAAACTGATGACAACATACAATACAAGTTAAAGATGAATAAAAACAAATGCATATTATGCATTTAAAAGTAATAAATAAATCGAAATGTATATAACCTATATTTTGTATGAAAAACTCGACCTTCATACTAACTATTTAATAATTTCCTCTCAATTATAGTGTATTAAAGTACCTTACAATGGAAACAGGCCTGCCTACTCAAGTACAAGTCTTTCATAATATAAGGTGGTGTTAACTGCATTGTAACTTCCCTTCACTGTCCCCCCCCGGACATTCATTGTTTACAGGTGAGGTTAAAGGATGATGTACTTACTTTCGTGGTGTTGGGAAAAAGTGAATCTCTCGCTCGCGGCGTCCGCAGAGTATAGCCCGCCTACGTAGACGCTGATCGGTCAATTCTTGGTTGCACTCACAAGCGACCGGGACAGCCGGATGATTATATATTTACCCATAATGCATCTTGTTTTTCCGAATAATTGATTTTATTAATCAAACACACAACAGCAATGCCCCTACCGGAAACGAGGAAAGTCGTAATTAACCTATTTGAGAAAATATTAGAAAACGGCTTTTTGGAACATGCAGTGTCAATAATCCACCACAAGATGGCACTGCTGCTTTTCTCCTCTGAGAGGGAGCGGACCCCTTTCTCCTTTTATAACAGAGAGGGAATGGGACAGAGGGAGATAGAGGTGGGCAGAGGTGAGAGTGAGAGGACAGCAGCTGGGCTCCTGCCATATGTCATTTATATTTAGGGATCTCAAAGAAGAGGGGGGAAAGGACTAAAGCAGGAGTGTTTGGTGCGTAAAACGGGATAGGTCTGTCTCCAAATTCTAGGAGTTCACTTTGAGGCTGATCGGTTTTATTTGGAGGTGGGTTTCTGTGCCTCGTAGGAATATTTTTTACACGATTTGCGTCCATTTCAGATCAGAATTCTTGTTATTATAAGTAATTCCGGAGTTGTTAACTCTGATTTTTTTTAAACTATAGCAGGATTGTTTGGTGCGTAAAACGAAATAGGTTGGTCTCCAAATTCTAGCACTTTGAGGCTGATCGGTTTTCTTTGGAGGTGGGTTTCTTTGCCTCGTAGGAAAATGTTGTACATGTTTTATTATTACATCCTTATCACATCATCAGAATGTTATTAAAAGTACTTCTTAATTCTGTCCATTTGGCTCTATTTCAGCGCATCGGTGCACGGATTACAATGCAAAGTGTTTTGGAGGTTTGGCTCACCTTGGTGACGGTGGGGTCGCTCACAGAGGGGGTCTCTGGAGGGTATGGGCTCAGCATGTTCGCGGCTCAGTCGTCCCCCCCGGATCCGTGCTACGATGAGAACGGGAACCCTCGGAGGTGCATCCCGGACTTCGTGAACTCCGCGTTTGGAAAGGACGTACGCGTGTCCAGCACCTGCGGGACCCCGGCCGCCAGGTACTGTGTGGTGACCGAGAAGGAGGAGGAGAGGACTCGGGACTGTCACACCTGCGACGCCGGAGACCCCAAGAAATCTCACCCTCCTGCGTACTTAACGGACCTCAACAACCCCCACAACCTCACCTGCTGGCAGTCCGAGAACTACGTGCAGTTCCCGCAGAATCTCACCCTCACTTTATCCCTGGGGAAGAAGTTCGAGGTGACCTATGTGAGCCTGCAGTTCTGCTCACCCAGACCCGAGTCCATGGCCATCTACAAGTCCATGGACTACGGGAAGTCCTGGGTGCCGTTTCAGTATTACTCCACTCAGTGCAAGAAGATGTACAACCGGCAGAATAAAGCAGCGATCACCAAGCAGAACGAGCAGGAGGCCATCTGCACGGACTCCCACACCGACATGCACCCTCTGACGGGGGGGCTCATCGCCTTCAGCACCCTGGATGGGAGACCCTCTGCGCACGACTTCGATAATTCCCCCCGTGCTGCAGGACTGGGTGACGGCCACCGACATCAAGGTGATCTTCAGCCGGCTGCACACGTTTGGAGACGAGAACGAGGACGACTCGGAGCTGGCGAGAGACTCCTACTTTTACGCGGTGTCTGACCTGCAGGTCGGGGGCAGGTGCAAGTGCAACGGGCACGCGTCGAAATGCGTGAAAGACCGCGAGGGGAACCTGGTGTGTGAGTGCAAGCATCACACCGCGGGCCCGGAGTGCGACAGGTGCAAACCCTTCCACTACGACCGGCCCTGGCAACGCGCAACGGCCCGTGAAGCCAACGAGTGTGTCGGTAAGGAATCTGCTTCTTTTTTTTGTCCTTTACTGTGGATTTATTTCAGCTCTGAAATCTGCTTTTGATTGTTTATATATTTTATGATCCATGTAAAAAAAAACTCGTTGTAATTACGCACAATCATTTTCCTGCCATTACGCACGACAATTACGCACAAGTGTTACTCGAAAATGTGAATTTTGTAGTAATTATTTCTTACTGGGAATGAAATTGGGTCGCTGAAAACTTGATTTTATTCTACATACATGTTTGTGCTGTAAACACGGATTATTAGGAGGTGATATAAACTCGAATTAGGGTTTTATTAATTTGTCTGTGGCTAATAAATCCCTTTTGAAGCAAAGAGAAAAAATAAGGCCTCCATCTGAAACCCCACGGCCTGAATAGTAAAAAGTAATTTCTTGATATTTAAAAGAGATATTTTTTTTAACATTGAAATCTAATCTAATTGATCATAATTGTATTTCGAAAAACGACCTCTCTAGGTATTATTTAAAATGCTCTAAATAGAGTAAATTGCAAAAGGGCCATGCTAATTCAATATACTGCAGGCCTAAACACATTACACATATTCAAATTAATTATTAAACCCACCTTTTCTATTTTGTCAGAGAATTGATCATATATCTATCAAGCATCCTCCTTTTTAAGAATCTTAAATACACACAATTTAACTGCCTAATTAAAGAAATGTCTCAATCAAAAATGTAAAGTAATATTTCCTTTATGCCAAGATAAAATCAAAGTGTGTTTCACAATCCACCCTCTATGTATTGTTCAGTAATACATTGCCTGCTGATTTGTATCAACACCCAGAAGAAAAGAAAGCGCCGGAAGTCATTTCCACAAACACAGTGCGCCTGTCCGAATGCGTAATTGCGCTTTGACCCGCGGGGTTTCCGACTGTAGTAGTGGAGCTTTCTTTTTTAAATAGGAAGGAAACATTGCTGCTGCGGAGATAGACTGCAGGGGCGTTTTGTGTTTCCATAAGCAGGTGCTGCTGCAGATTGCATGGCAGATTAAGGCGCTTTTATTGACATTTTTGGCACGTAGTGTATAAACTACTGCTGTGGAGCCAGAGAGAGGAGGACAAAGAAGGAGGTCATTTGAAGCCTGATGTGAGTTTTTTATTGTAGCAGTAGTGCATTTGATGTGATGCTGATTTTCAACAGAGCATGGGGGGGTTATATCAACAGCTCAAGCCCCTGAAGTCCTGACAGTGCCATGGTTTGCTTATCCAAACGGAACAAGTGAACAAGCTGTTCCCCTTGGCCTCCGACTTCTGCCTCTGCAGAGCCAGCATCTCGGTGTATTTCACTAAAACAAAAGCGTGTGGCATCCATCTCGGTGTCAGTGCGAGACCCCTGCATCCCCCCCCCCACCCTTTCACCATGTTACTTTTTGTCGGAGGGTGTCATCAGATAAATCAAACGCAGAAAAGACAAAGCATGTCTTCCAAAGAGGAAATAATAGAGGGAGCCTGACGCGAGACCTCTAAGTGACACAGGTTCACACAATGACCAAAAGAGGCTGTAATCGATTACAAAAGGATGTAAAATGACAAAACAAACCCCGCATGGATAGGCGAAAGAGTGCAAAGTGACGCAAAATAAAAATAGCCACAAACTGACGACACAGAGAGATGAAAAATGACTTCAAATAGATACAAAATGGTGAAGAAAATGCAAAATGACTATAAAGTGACCAGAAAGTGAAAGGGTGACTCAAAATGACTCAAAAACTACTACCTTTAGAGGCTACTACTTAAGATATAAACAATTGCGGCCTGGCATTTAATAACAAGACGACCAAAAGTGACTATGAAGGGTCACAAAATTAAAGACAAACACTGCATATAGAACTTCATTGATTAAGAAGTGATGCATATTGACAAAAAACTCCACAAATGGACCACAAAGTGTCGAAAGAGTGACTCAAAGTGACAACAAAAACAACCTTCAAGACACCATCTGCGGTCACCGAAGCCTGATAAGAATGTGTGTGTACAAAACACAGCAAACTCTTACTGATATGTGCTGGGTCCAGGCTCAAGGGCGTATGGCACTCTCAACTCTTTCCAGGACATGTCGGGGCCCTGCCTGCCAGTAGCTTTGCCGATATCTGTGTTGATAGGTGATAGATTAAGAGCGGTGAATCATAGAAACTGCAAGCGCTCAACGTTTGTGTGAGTTTATCTAATTTAGCAGTGATTCCATGTCAGCCACAGCTTGTTACAAAAAACATGACTGATAGTGTGTTTAACAAACTTAAACTAGCTTTATTAAATGTCAGGTCTTTGGCAGGAAAAACATTTTTAATCAATGATTTTATCACTGAGCACAATCTCGATTTTATGTTTTAACGGAAACATGGATTGAACAAAATAACAGTGCAGCTGTTCTTATCGAATCAACCCCTCCCAACTTTAGTTTTATGAGTCAGGAAAGAATGCATAAGAAAGGGGGTGGAGTTGCTATTCTGTTCAATGATTCCATTCAATGCAGGAAGACATCGTATGGAAACTTTGATTCTTTTGAATATGTGGCCCTTCGGCTGAAATGCTCCTCTCGAGCTCTGTTCCTAAATATCTATATACCCCCCAAATACTGTGCAAGCTTTTTTGATGACTTTACTGAACTGCTGTCTATAGTGTGTATTGACTTTGACCGTCTAGTCATTGTTGGTGATTTTAACATCCATGTTGACAACCCCAGGACAGAGGGGCTAAAGAACTGTTTTGTGTTCTTGATAGCTATGGACTGACTCAGCATGTGACGGAGCCCACGCACAATAAGGGGCACACTCTGGACTTAATTATCTCAAAGGGTCTGAATATCTCTAAGGTTGTGGTGACTGATGTTGCACTCTCTGATCATTCCTGTGTTTTCTTTGAGAGCTCTATTTCTGTTCACAAAATGTTCAAAAAGAGGTAACCGCAAAGCGATATTTAACTGAAAACACTAGGGAAATGTTTACTCAGAATTTTTCCGGGAAAAAGTATCTCAGAAAATGAGCTAGTAGATCATTTTAATTCACAAATTAAAAATGTTATAGATGCCATTGCTCCAACTAAGGTAAAGGAAGTGACTGGGAAGAAAATATCTCCATGGAGAAAGGCCATGAGCGTGAAAACAGAAAAAAGAGAATGTCGAAAAGCTGAACGCAGGTGGCGAAAAACAAATCTCCAGGTTCACTTTGAAATCTATAAAGAGAGACTTGGCCTTTATAATTTGGAATTGAAAAACGCACGACAATCGTTCTTCTCTGACATCATTACCAAAAACAAAAACAACGCACGTGCCTTGTTTGCTACCGTCGACAGACTAACTAACCCCCCAGTGTCAGTAGCCTCTGAATTTCTATCCACCAGGGCGTGCAATGATTTTGCCTTCTTCACTGACAACATTCAGAAAATCAGACAAGCAGTCAGTGCCTCTGCATCAGGAACAGCAAATGTGTTGTCCCTATCTCCACTTAACATCAATTCAGACATCATGACACAATTCCATCAGATTAATGATAAAAACCTAGAGGACATTATTCAACTTCTGAAATCCTCCTCCTGCTGCCTTGATATTATTCCAACAGGATTTTTCAAAGATGTTTTGCCTTGCATGGCCTCAGATCTACTTCATATAGTAAACAAATCTCTTCACTCAGGTATTTTTCCACAGGCCCTGAAAACTGCAGTCATTAAACCGCTCTTAAAAAAGAATAATCTAGATGCTTCAGTAATGAATAATTACAGGCCCATATCAAACCTCCCATTTCTAGGTAAAATCATTGAAAAAGTTGTTTTTCAACATTTGAGTAACTTCTTGCATTTAAATAGCTGTTTCGATGTGTTCCAGTCAGGCTTTCGTCCAAACCACAGCACTGAGACTGCTCTTGTAAAGGTCGTCAATGACATCCACTTAAACACAGACAGTGGCAGAACTTCAGTGTTAGTATTATTAGATCTCAGTGCTGCGTTTGACACTGTTGACCACAGCATATTACTAGACCGACTGGAAAACTGGGTGGGACTTTCGGAAACAGTTCTAAATTGGTTGAATCCTACTTAAAGGACAGAAACAACTTTGTTTCTATAGGTAAATACACATCTGAGTTGACAAATATGACATGTGGGGTTCCTCAAGGCTCCATCTTGGGGCCTCTTCTCTTTAACGTCTACATGCTACCACTGGCTCAGATAATGAAAAACAACAAAATAAGTTACCATAGCTATGCAGATGACACACAAATGTACGTAACAATTTCACCAGGAGACTATGCTCCAATTCAAACACTGAGTAAGTGCATTGAACAAATCAATGACTGGATGTGTCAGAACTTTCTCCAATTAAACAAAGATAAAACTGAGGTAATGGTTTTTGGAGCCAAGTCAGAACGTATAAAAGTTAGCGCTGAGCTTCAGTCTGCAATGTTCAAAACAACAGATAAAGCCAGAAATCTAGGTGTAGTCATGGACTCTGACCTGAGTTTCAACAGTCACATTAAAACAGTTACTAAATCAGCCTACTATCACCTAAAGAATATATCTAGGATTAAAAGACTAATGTCACAGCAGGATTTGGAAAAACTTGTCCATGCTTTTATCTTCAGTGACTCGACTACTGCAATGGTGTCTTCACAGGTCTCACTAAAACATCTATTAGGAAGCTGCAGCTGATTCAGAACGCTGCTGCTCGAGTCCTCACTAACACTAAGAAAGTGGATCACTCCTGTTCTGAAGTCTTTACACTGGCTTCCTGTGTGTCAAAGAATAGATTTCTAATACTGCTGCTGGTTTATAAAGCACTGAATGGTTTAGGCCCAAAATACATTTCTGACCTCCTGCTAAATGATGAACCATCCAGATCTCTCAGGTCTTCAGGGACTTGGTCAGCTTTCTGTCCCCAGAGTCAGAACTAAACATGGAGAAGCAGCGTTCAGTTATTATGCTCCAAATATCTGGAACAAACTCCCAGAAACCTGCAGGTCCGCTGCAACTCTGA